CTATAAATATTAATTAAAGTGGCGGCGGCAGAACATTAAGCTTCTGCTCCTTTTCAACTCTTGTGTTCTACTGCTTCTCTTCCCTCTTCCTCCTCTTTTCTCTTTACCTTTCTTCTTATTTTCGAACCTGAAATCCATTAGGGTTCAAGACTGATAACAGTCCTGAACTTCTACTCCTAGCATTAGCAAAGCTGTGAAAGAAACGGGTGTTATCCAGCAGGACACTAATTACTTAGTGTTATGCAGCAGGATAATGTTTTTTTTAAGATTTTTTGGGCAGAGGGAGATCTTGATATGGACATTATTTCAGGTTTTCCACTATGTCAGAAATTGTCCAATAACATCTGATATCCAATTATGCGTGTTCAGTTAAAATACAAGATTTACTAGTAATAAAATAAAAGATAAATAGAGCCCAATTGGCTTCCAACATGGTCTCAAAATGAGAACTAATAGACCAATAAAACTGCAAGTTAAAATGCAGTATTTGTACATGGATGTTCTTATTTGATACTTAATACAATTCTTTACCCTTTTTTCACAAAAAAAAAGAGAAGAAAAAAGGAATAGAATACAGTCTTGAGATGGAAATTGATTGGTGAGTTGTGCATTCAATAGGCATGAGATCGGTTTCCTTCTTGGCCCAGAATATACACAATAGAAACCTTTTCTATCCATCTTCAATCATTAGGAAATAATAACACTAATAACTAAAATATGAAGCCTAAACTCCAATTCCCTGATTTGTGTGCTAATGATCATGGGGATTCTAAGAAGTAAGAACTGTAAAAGGCACCTAAAAATCCTACTAAAACCATAAAACTAACCCAAGGAAAATGGTTAAGAGATTTAATTGATTACAACTATAAGATACCCATGTATGACAGACATTCAAAATGACCACACAAAAAGCATCCTGATGTTTTGTGCATGCATGGATCTCCAATTGAGCAATTATAATATCCACCTCTTTTTCACTAGTACTAGAAACGAGATGGAAAACAGAAGGATGATGATTGATAATGTACCTGCTGATGTACATCAGTCATTGACAAGGTCAAATGCAAAAACACCTTGATTGTTGCCAATACAACAGCACCATTTGCATGTTGCAGTCTATCTTCAAGCAGATTCATAATGTCAAATATCTCACTGCTATCTGAGGGTACATATTTTCCTACCAAGTCGAGCACAAGACACTGTGCCCATTCACTGAAATCCTTAATCCTGCAAAGATTATAAGAAAAACAGCTTCTATTAGTATAATTATTCAAAGACCTCAGATAAAATAAGGAGAAAAAAAACTGTTTCTGTTATTGCTCATTTTCATAATTCCTAAAGATTATACAAAGTGAGAATTTAATCAAGAATATTTCAGCAAAAAAACTTAAATAAATAGAATCTACATAACTAAATTTCAATTGGGGAAGATGCAGACATTTGCAGAGTGAGAAATAAATGCAACAAGATGGAAAGCGTCAAATAAACCTAGTCTTGTAAAATGAACTTGACAGAAATGAATTAAGTCTGTTTCACTACCTTTTTTTACTGAAAAAAAAAATAAAAATAGTTCAAGATTGTGTATATTGAAAATCAATATTATCAGCAAAAGAAATTTCAACGCTTTTGTTATCAGTAAGAAACTAAAGAGCTTTCACATTACTTTGATGGTTTAATTATAGAGTGAAAATTTCAGGTTTACTTGTTATTACTTGTGTTTTCATCACCATCATCAATGAAGAAACAAATTCCAACACAAAGAAAAAAGATAAATACAAGAGCTCCAGTCCCAACCAAGGTTCAAAGTATCGATACAGGCCGGTGTATCAGTGCTTTTTTTGTGTTTTTTTTTTTCGAATCTGGTTCAGAGGGGTCGATTTAAGGCCTGGCTACCCTCTGAACCATGGTCTGACCCAAAACACCCCCTGTAGGGGCGTATCGGGAAGGCCACGATACAATACGTATCGGCCGATGCGGGCCAATACGTAACGATATTTTGAACCTTGGTCCCAACTATAAAAAAGGGGGATATTCAGCTATCCAGTCCTCACAGAGAGGGTCAAAGCTGCCACAATTCACAAATGATGAAGTTCACAATAAGCTTTCATATAGAAGGAAGATGGACACATGCAAACGAGAGAAAAATTGTTTAGAAACAAAATTCAGGGTATTGATAATCAGAGGACCAAGTCAGCAAAGGAGTTCTCATTCCAGATTTTGCCAACTGGATCCTAAATACCCTGTTTTGGTTAAATGGCCTCGTGGGAGGGGGAGGGGGCCCTTTTTGCTTGGAGGAGAAAGGAAGTCAAGAAAGAAGCCTTGTTTTGGGGTTTGGGTACAAAGATCAGTCAAAACCTTCTGACCTTAAATGGTACTCTAACTAGAAGGGAAGCCTTGTTTTAGGGTTTGGACATACCAGGTTCACTTGAGCACAATGCAGTAGTGCCTCCTCCAACTTCAAGGGAAGAACGCCTTCATTTTTGTACTCTTTTTCTGCTACCATCAGTGAACAGCATTGACGTTTGTTGCTGATTGAGAAAAAAACATAGTTGGCAAACTGCCCATCCATTTCTCAGAAATAGATATAGAAGTTACCAGCATGGTAAAGACTGATAACACTCCCATGAATATAATAAGATAGGAAAGGCTTCCAAAAAAGTGGAAGATGCAACAACCTCCATATGCATCTGTGCATGGTTAATGAGAGAACAACCATGTACAGAGCCCAGTGCATGAGGCTCCCACCAATGTGGAGTGAGGTCTGAGGAGGGACAGATGTATGCAACCTTACCCTGTACATACAGAGAGGCTATTTGCAAGATTTGAACCCTGGTCACCCAGGTCGCAATGGAGCAACCCTGTATAGCATATATACATGTGTAGCTCTTTATACATTTTTTTTGGAAAAGGTAAAGTAATATTTATTGAGAAGAAATTACACATAGGAGGCTGAGATCGGTCCCAGAAAAGGCTGACTGATCAAATCAGCAATTATACATTCCACCATGAGCTAGAAAGAAAAACAGCTGACACATTACAATTTCTGAAATCCGCAGACACAGACACCCAAGACATCAGCTTGCCCACTGTTTTCTGAATTAGCTCTTCCGGACTTAGAGTCCTGTTACTGAAAATCCTTCTATTCCTCTCAGTCCAGATGGACCAAATTACAGAAACTGGAATCATCTTCCAAACAGTCTTCTTTTTCTTGGCTCCACAACTGAGCAGAATATGGGCAGTGGATGCACAAATAGTCGTGGATTCAGCACTACTCCCACATAGACTGCAAGACAGGTCCAACATCTGAATGCCCCTTCTCACTAGGTTATCTCTAGTAAGACATTTATTAAGAGCCATAGTCCAAACTAGGAAGTTGGCTTTAGTTGGGCTGGTTGGATTCCACGCTTGCCGATCAGGGAAATCAGGAATACCCCCTACAGAGGTTAGAAGCCAGAGACTTGACAGAGAACACCCCATCTGAGTTCCACTTATCCTCTGCACTGTAATCCACACTGTAATCCAGCTCATGATTCTGAAGACAGGTCAACAGATTCAAAACCTCATCCACCTCCCAATCGAAAAGGTTCCTTCGAAATGAAGGAGACCAATGAACTGAACCACCAGATACACTATACACTCTACAACTGAAGCCTCTTGATCCGAAGCACACTGGAAGAGGAGAGGGAAGGAATCAGAAAGGGGTTCATCTGAGCACCTCCTTCCAGAATTTGGTCCTGCTACCATTGCCAACTTTAATTGCGACCCCAGCAAACAGAGTTGAAAAATTCTTCATTATCCCTTTCCACAGAGAGTTGCCCCAGTTGGGAGGAGGGTCCCTCGTTCTCCAATTACTCCAATCCACACCATATTTGCTAGCAATGAGAGATCTCCAGCAGGCATCATTTTCTGCTGCAAATCTTCAAATCCACTTGCAGAGGAGAGCAGAATTAAAAGATTTCAACTTCCTTATGCCTAACCACCCTTCAACTTTGGGGAGGCAAACTTGCTCCCAACTCACCAAGTGCACTTTTTTCTCCTCCTCCCAGCCTCTCCAAAGAAAACTCCTTTGAAGCTTTTCAAGCTAATTTGCAACCCTGTTTGGCATAAAGAATAGAAACAGGAAGTAGGTGGGTAAATTGGAGAGAGTACTCTTAATCAGAGTCACCTTACCCCAAAAGAGAGGTATTTTGCCTTCCAAGAGGCCAACTTTCTTTCCATTTTCTCAATTACCGGGTCCTAAATTGCAGAAGAACCACCGCTCACCCCCAGAGGAATCCCAAATATTTGACTAGAAGGGACTCAATCTGACAAGCCAAAATACCAACACAATCTGCTAAGTTGGAAACCTGGCCCACTAGGATAATTTGGCTCTTGTTCCAATTAACTTTTAGACCAGTATTCACTTCAAACCAAGATAAGATCCCAAGGATTAACTCCACTTGTGAGGGAAAGGCATCCACAAAGCACAATGTATTATCTGCAAATTGAAGAATATTCACCTTCTTACAGAATAGAGTGAGGATCTCCATTACACATATAAATAAAAGAGGAGACAAGGGGTCACCCTGTCTAAGACCCCTAGAACTATCAAAAAAGTCTGTAGACTGTCCATTAACCAAGACTGAGAACTTTGGAGAGGTGATACAAACTTTAACCCAATTCCTCCATTTCTGCCCAAAATTCATCTGATGTAACACAAGATCAACACATCTCCAGTTGACATGATCATAGGCCCTTTCAATATCAAGTTTACAAATCAGCCCTAGGGAACCTTCTTTTTTCCTAGAATGAATGAGCTCATTGGCAATGAGAACAGAGTCCAGCATCTGCCTACCCGGAACAAAAGCACTTTGGTTATTTGAGATAACACTACCAAGGACCCTTTTCATTCTCTCAGCAAGCACTTTAGCTAAGATTTTGTAGAAGCTATGCAGAAGACTAATCGGCCTGAAGTCCTTAAGATTCACTGCACCTTCAATCTTTGGAATGAGGGTTATAAAGGTAGTATTCAAAATGTCCTGTCTCACCACATCCCAACATTTAATATAGAAAAGATTTGTAAGACCATCAGGCCCTAAAGACTTCTCATTAGCCAACAACTTGATTGTTGCTTTTATTTCCTCCTCTGTGAAAGATCTTTCAATAAGAGATGACTACACATCACTCAACTGATTAAAAGAAAGGGACCTAAGAAAAGGTCTGAAGAACTAAGACTCCTTGTACAACTTTTTATAAAAGCTAGTAGCCACTAGCTTCATATCAATCTCAGAGACACCCACCCCGCCCTCTCCGTCCAGCCTGGTAATTGCAGAGGCTCTAGCTCTGGCATTTGCCGTTTTGTGGAAAAAGTGTGTATTCCTGTCCCCTGCTCCTCAGAAATAGGACCCAATTCTTCAGTTGAGTCGATTTCTTTTATAGTACTCAAGAGAGTCTTCTTCTCAATATCTAAACTCATATTTTTCTCCAATTTCCATATCTTTAGTCTTGCTTTGATGGCCCCCAACTTCTTTGCCAGAATGAATGAATTGGTACCCACAACCTGCAGATCCTCCCAAACAGACTTCAACAAAGGAACAAGAGTGGCATCCTCAAACCAGGCATTCTCTAATTTGAAAGGGACTTTTGCTCTCACTCTGACACCACAAACCAGCTAAATTGGAATGTGGTCTGAAATTGAACTAGGAAGGGCAATCTGCTTAAACTCTGGAAAGATATCTTCCCAATTAGAAGTAACCAGAAACCTGTCCAGCCTCACAAGGGTAGGGAAATCTTGGTTGTTGGTCCAAGTAAACTGACTACCGTGAAGGGGTAAGTCTTGGTCCAAGTACAGCTCTTTATACATCAGAATGAAAGAATAAAAGAAGAGTGAAAAGCAAGCTTCCACTTATTTGTTAAATGATTGAAATTGAATTTCTTGAAATCCTCCAAGACGGTAACCAAGAAAGATAGAAAGTTATCTCTCTATATTTAACTGGTCATAGCTTACAAGGAGTTGGTTCTCCTTCCAAAAATATGTAAATTGCATTCTTTACATTGACTCGAACAATTTGAAAAGAAAAAAGGTGGAAGATTCCATAAATATGCCCCTTCTTACCAAAACCCTCCATTGGCCATGAGGATACTAAGCCAAGTAAGTTCCTAAGAATGATCATTGAGACATAAAGAGAACTACAAAATGAGAGCATGCCTTATATGAGAAAATGCGATGTAATAATGTGTGCAATAATGATGATTCTACAATCCCATAAATAGAGCATCAGAATACCTACTCTCCAAATCCCTCCTAGATATTAAGAGATCGAATGTTAAAATCTTGTCCAGAACTCTCTTCCACACAAAAGATTTTGGATAGCACCTTGGCTTCCCATATCCACTCCACAAAAAATGAAACAGATGAATCACCTAGCTAGAAGCACCATATACAAATGACTTTAACTGAGAAATTACCACTAGGATTGGTTGTGCATATTATTGGAACCATGCTACCCTGGTTGAATGGAGGTCCCTCAGAGACATGAGAGGAACATTTTCAAAGTAATGTAGATGCAGATTCCACACTACCACATCTCCAACAATTTCTTAACAGTCACGGCAGAGGCCACTCTTGAACTCATAATTTAACAATGGATATATGTCACTGAAAAGAATGGAATGGCAAATCAGGATTCATGTAGCTGACCCATATGGTTGGAACAAGATTTAGGTGATGATGATGATGATGACAATGGATGTAGGCCTGTCTTGACAAAGCCAACCAATAAATTGTCAAAAAGGTTGTCACAAAAGGGGTCATCCCCAGTCCAAAAATTTATATCTGATGCATCACTAGTTTTATATGCAATGCTTGTTTAAGCAACCACATTCATGATGCTCTTCAATACACTTTCAACCATATGAAGATATGGATAGTACGGCCAATCCACTACTTACTAGCAACCACTCTCCTCCATATAACACCAGTTCCACTTGCCTAATAAGGCTACTTTAGTAACTCTAAGGGTCTAACTATGTAAGACCCATCCCACCACGAATAGAAAAATCGATTCATAGTAGGCCAGTGAAATGGAAAAAGCAGCCAGTATGTAAAAACTCCACCAGCTATACAAATTTAGAACGCTAAACCATCCATATGAAAAACAATATACAAAAAACAGCCCCAACATCTGCCAACAAAAAAGCTAAATGACACTCACTCAGAAGAAAGTAAATTTGTTTGATGATTAAACATGGATTTCTCCTTCAATGTAAGTGGGAATGAGCAAGTTCTAAGATATGAATATGTTTAGATTCATTCACATGTGAAAAATATAATTGCAAAAACCCATCAGAAAAGGATCTAACACAAAAGTTATTAATGTCCAAATAATTTACATATAAGCAATATAGGTATTTACTAGTTAATACAATGTAGTAAATGCATGCATGCGTACTCCATTGTATGTGCTTACACATTTAATTATTAAAACAAACAGAGAAACTCTGATAGTTCTCTCAAAAATGAAGGTCTATAAGTGCCTATGTACTATTGAGAGAGACAAAACCTGGTAGAAGCAAACCCATGCTTCCATGATTTACTCAATGAAACTTCACAATTACTACTTTCAGAACAAAGCATTTACCTATTCAGAAAATAATAAATTACTGGCTTGCTTAGCAAAGCTTCTCTTTCCCTGGATGCTTCCTCGGAGGTGCTTGCCTCCAAACTCCAAATTTCTTGCAAGGCAGATAAACAATTTGCAACTACCTGGCAAAGCATTACAGTGGAAGCAATTAATTTAATATGAGCACACCTGAATTTTCAAGGAATAAAGGACCAAAAAAGTAAAATATTATGTGCAGAAACCAATTTTCAGGAATCTCTTTTGTTTACCAATAATATTATAGTACAGCAAGACTCTATTAAGTAAATCAAGAAATGGTAAAATAGATATTTACTGGGTTACCAAAAAGACATATTTTTTGGGTCATCACAAGGCAATTCATCGTATACCAAAGAAATAATCTTCAAAGCACCAATTTTTATTTTGAGAAACTTTTTGGAGGACCCAGGATCAGACAAGGGGGGATTGACAAACATGGGACAATAAATGGTTAGCTAAAATGTAAATGATAAACAATCCAAACGAAATGTGAAATAAATTTACCATCCTTAGGTAGAACTTTACACAATGGATATGGTCACAGTCAAGGATACATGTAAGGATGTCAACTGGTTGGGCTCGGTGCGAGCTTGGCCCAACACAAAACCAACCCGAAATAACTCCAACCTGAACCCAACCCCGCCCTGACTAAATGAGGAGGGAGTATTGAACCCAATCCAGCCCATCTCATATATAATACAATGTACACCTATACTCTACCAAGCATATATACACAAATGTTGCAGCATTGAAAAGTCAATGGATCAAGTTTAAAAAGGATCCACCTCAACTCTAACCAGACCAAAAACCTAATTGGGGTTGACCTGATTCAACCCAATAGGGTTGGGTCAATGTGGGTTTACCAACCTGATCCATTGACATCCCCAGATACATGAAGCATTTGTATGTGCACATGCACAACTGCACATCCATGGGTTTTTCCTTCCATCACCCCCCCCCCACTCTTTCTTTGTTTTGGTTGTAGACAGTCTAATAGTATCTCAATCCCAAAAATCTCCTCCTTTTTCTTCCACAATTGCATAAAAGAAATATGTTTATCCAAACCATGAATTACGCAGTGCAGATTATATGGCCTCTTGTTGTAAGTTACGATAGCTTTAGAAGCCACAAGGAGATTTAAGACTACCATTAGAAACATTTGAAGTGCCCAAATTTCCCAGTTTTGTAATTCTCTGCATCAAAAACTAACTTGAAATTCACTATCTTCAATGTCACTAATGGAATGGAAGCAGTAAAATCAAAACAGCCACAATTATTGAAACTTGAAAGTCAACCACAGCATGGGTGGTACTAATATTTAAAATAAGATAATAAAGTTGGAGGGTTTATATCATATCAAAGCTAAAGATCTTCAATGTTCTCAAGGGGAAGTCAAACATTAATTTTACTAATAAAAAAGAAAGAATTTTTTAAAACTTTTGTTAATGGAACTCCACTGTTTGTATAATTCATTGCATATTCTGCTTATAATTAATGAATGAACGTTTTCTTGGTTTCTTATCAACAAAAAAGCCTTGGCCAAGCTAATTATTATTAGGGTGGCCCATTGGATTAAAACAGGAAAGGAGTTTAAGCCATCTTCTACAGAAGACATCAGTATAGGGTGGCATTTATAGCTCTGATTCTACATCAACTAGACCTGCAATCTTGTTGGATTGGAACCTTCCCTTGCCAAACATGATATGCTGTATTGGAAATCCAAGTACATCGGGAATTCAGAAAGAATAAAGGCAACATTATCATGCAATATTCTAGTCTTGTAAGGATTGCAGATATTGTTCAGGCTAAACTCAAAGAAGCCTATCCATGGAAACTAGCACAGACATAAATATGGGAGACAGGAATATGGCTGTTCGTTTCATTAGATCCTTAACACAAATATTAGTATGGATATCCAGTTTCTAAATATTGATAATTTTAATTAAACTCCTTAGTATAATTTATTAAAAATTATGTTTTACAAATTTCAAGGGTCTAAATGCCATGAAATACACTCTATAAGTGCCTATGCAGTATTCACTGTCTTTATCAGGTTTGTATTGTGTCTGATACAAGGTAAGGTAGGCATGTTCAAGTATCTGAGTATCATAAACTGGACTCCTAGCTTTACTTCACAGACTGAAATTCACAAGCTCTTGTGGGTATGGCAATCTAGTGGGAGAGAATTCTCAAGTGGTAGTAGGGTGGATACATAGTAGTACTCGAGTCCTGGGCAAGATAAGCACAAAATCAGGGAAGTAAGAACAGAAAACATCATGGCTTGACTCACTGGCAGGGAAAGGACTAAGGAGTGAATAGAACTGAATCGTATTGGGTGGGTAATCCCACCTGCTGAAAGCCTGAGTTATTTATGTAAAGGGTTGTTATGTTGGGGAAGGGCAACTGGGGAGCTACCTTATTTTTCTCTCCTTCTAGGAAACGCATGTCAACATTATTCCTTTCTGTACCCTTCCCTCGATTGCTTAAATTTATTTGGCTTTTTACACTTAACAGTGCATATCTACTGTTGAGATAAATTCTGATTTTAAGTTCAAGACAATCTCGAAAAAGATAGATTAGCGCATGCAGTTGCTGACATTCGACGGATTGTGCATGACAGCAAATGTGCCTTGAAATGCATGATATCCAATTACGACAAAATAATTAAACTAAAGTAAAGATGGGATGGTCCCCTGAAGCAGCATTTAAATTTTAAAGTTCTCTTCATCTCAGAATTTGAATTACCGTCACCTTTGATTTCTATTACCAAAAGAAGAAAATAGAAAGAACCCAAAAGCAATATTAATCTGTTCCGTATTTCCCTCCTAATAACTTTCTGTTGACACTACACAGCTACCAACAGAAAACATGGGAACCAACGAGTCAGGAAAATGGTACCTGAGCATCTGGGTCATTAAGCATAAGAGCCTTGAGTGCGGACGGAAAATCGGCATCTATACACGACGACGACGAGATATGATACAGCTTCAGTACCCCAATGGCAGCAACCATCCTCACATAACTGTTGTGATCCTGCAAGCCCGATCCCAACGGACCAACTAGATACTCCACTAAATTTTCCACTCTCAGAGAACAGAGGCTCCTCAATGCAAGCCCCCTAATCATGGGATCCTCGTCCCGGCAGTCCTTCTGAAGAAAATTGATAGTAAGGAGAGCCAGATCCGGATTCCCTTTAGCATAATTCCCAACATAGAGATAACACATCTTCTTGAGAACAATGTCCGATGTCGCGGAGCACATCACCATCTCGCTAAAGAGCGAAGACACGTCGATGCCAACCGTCATGTATGATATGACCTTCTTGAAGAGCTCTCTCTTTGAATCGTCGGTTCCCGGCGCTCGACTCCCGGCGAGTTGCCGTAGTTGCACCTTCAGATCGGAGACTTCTCCTTTTCTGGAGAATCAAATTAGGGCTCTATAATGAGTTCGATTGACACAAATCAGAAAATTATAAAGAGTGTAAGTGGTGAAGAAATTAACTTACCCAGAGGGCTGAGAAGGAGACTGAGATCTCTGCGACTGAGCTGGAGGAGCCATGACTGATTAAGCTATCGACGATTTCAGGCGAGAGATTGAACGAAAGGTTTTACAATTGGATCGACATGGAGGGAAAGAAACGAATCCCCGCGCAAACCTGGCAACGAGCTTCAGAGTTCAGACAAGAAAATGAGTTTAACGTATTAGAAGTTAGAACTGCCGAAAATTCTCAGTTCTCAGCAGGTCTAGACTCTAGATCGCCAAACCGCACCGAACCAAATCGAAAACGGCGGTTTGATCTGGTCTAACCTTAAAACAGTTTTAGAATTTCTCATATCATAATTTTTTTGTTTGATTTGGTTTTAGATTTTAGAAATTATATTAAACCGTCCGTAAACTGTATTAAACCAAATTATTAACATTATGTGTATTAATGTATATAATATATAACATTATAGATATGCATATATTGTATAATATATATAATACATTATATATGTTTAAACATATGTATTATGTATATATTCATTTAACATTTTATATATTATCGTTGCTTATTTCAATTTCCAACATGTAATTTAATGCCTAAGGAACTGGTATGTTTGGAAAAGTGTAAATGTAATAATAATAATAATAATAGGTATCTTGTTAACATTTTAACTTTATATTTTAGTTATCTTGTTATTTATGAGAGCATGCATGTTATTGGGGCTTTTTATTTGGGTTAAGCCCAATAGAGGCCCAAAGTACATTAGGAATTGGACCAAATTGTACTATGATGGTTTGGACTGGTTGGATTTGATATGAAATTTTCCCAATTTATAATTTAATAGTTTGGAATGAGATTTTCTTTGAACCAAACCAAATCAGACAGTGAACAACCTTAGTTCTTAGTCTATGGCATGCACAGTGGAGCAACCCACAAATGGCTTACAAGGCTCGCCTAGTGAATAGTTGAGCGAGTGAGCACATAATAGCTATGTGACATATGTCACAGTTAATGTGCCTTTCAAACTTTTTTGCTTCGTTAGACATAAATTATTCATTATTTTATTATTTTTGTCAAAATAATTAAAAATGAAAAACAATGAAAAAAGAAAATGTAAATGAATCCCAACTCTCAACACATTTAGGTTTTTCGATTTCATTGTTTTTATTTTTTAATTATTTTGACAAAGGTAATAAAATAATAGATAACTTCTATCTAACGGAACAAAAACGTTTAGATGAAAGACACATTAACTGAGACATGTGTCACACAACTATTACGTATTCATTCATTGTATTTATCTAACGTGCCTACTACATCCGAACCCATAGAAATAATATGCATCTGCTACCCACGCCCTATGCACATGACATCGCAGCAACATATCAGGAACATCTCCCATGAATGACAATATTCCAATGGGGACTTGGGGAAATGTTTTTGATGCAAGGTTGTATTGTATAGTGGGTAAGGTGTGTGTGGGTAGTGTCTTATGGGTAGCAGATTCAAGCTCACAAAAATAAGTCACGAACATTGCAGTTGGTGGATCGGTGGTTCCCACGATGGCATAACTTGAGTAAAAAGAATAAATGGATAAAGCAAAGCAAATTAATGCTGTTGGGGAGAAACAAATGTACACAGCCTTACATCTGTACATACAAAGAGGTGGTTTCAGCTTTCAAAAAAAGAAGAGATTGTTTCCAATAACTCATGCCTCACAGTATTAGATGTATTTAATCCATTCAACATTTTCACATTTTAGTGAGTTTGTTTTTGTTTATCTATGACGAGAAACAGTTAAGGGGGGCATTCACCAATGGTTGTTTGGTTTGAAAGAATTTTTTATTGATTTTTTGAATATTGTCCTAGACGGCCAAACCCCCACCTATGCTACCCCTTGAATTGTGATGTATTTCCCCACTTTCCACGGTTTCCAACTGTATGGACTCGTAAAAATTTATAGGTGGACTGAACAATAAAAGACCCAAAAACTTGAAACATAAATAAAGTTGGATTTGAAGTGCAAATGAAACTTGCATTCCATTGGGAGCCTTATTTTAAAGGAATTAAAATTACTAAGTACGTCTTAGCTTTTATCCCAATAGGATTAATCGATGAATATAAGGCAGCATTTGGTTTGAAACAAACATGGTTCAAAGTATCAATTCCCCTCTATCAATCTATGTATCAACAAAGGTGTATAGATACTTCCAAAGATACTCTCCCTCTTGTTTTCCTGAAAACATTTATAAATAGGTGTATTGGGACCAAAAAATTTGATACGAGGCATGTCATATCAAAATTTTGATATTTGGAAATAAATGAGAGAAAAAATAGAAAGTTGAGAGAAAATTTATAAATAATCAAACATTATGCATTTGAGAGTTTCCTTGATTTGTTTAACACTTGGAATCGGAACTCTCCAATTTTATAAACTCTCAAGCAAGGTTTCTAAAACTGAATCGGACAACGAACCGGTTAGAGGTCCGGTTCCCAAGTTGAACAGTTTGACTGTTCAAACCGAACGAACGACTAGTTCTGACAAAAAAATAAAAAATGACCAAACCATTGAATGGTTCGAACGGTTCGACCACCTGTGTTAGTGGTTTGCTAACCAACTCAACGATTTTTGGCAAAATAACGGCTCAGGGGTAAAATGGAACCAATCACCTAACCAGTTCCTGGTTTTTCTGGTCTGGTCCGGTTTTGAAAACCTTGCTCTCAAGTCTCAAGACTAAAATGAGGTGAAGAGTCATCATGAGGGTGATAATTGTAATAATGGAAAACTATCACATTCATAACTAGTAGATAACTGCATTAAATATGCTAAATAATGAATCTGCCCATGGCATCTAATCCTCTTTTACATTCACTAGTTATTGCAAACCAATTGGAGACCGAATCAACCCCCCACAAGGTCCCACAGCACATTCCAACCATGTATTGGGAACATCTCCCGATACATCATCATTTCGGGTATTATCGTCGGGAGATGTTCTCAATACACAGCGGGAATGTGCTATGGGACGTTGTGGGGGGCTGATTTGAATTCAACCAACTGTGTGGGACTATATCATAAATTAAATAGTCATAAATTGGAGCCATGTAGGATCCACATCAGAAATTTGAAAAGTTAGTGATTTTTTTCTTGTTTGGTTGACTGATTATGCTGATTTATGGGAAATCAGCTAAAAATTGATGACTGAAATCAGCCCTTTTCAGGGAGCACCTTTTTTTTTCTGGTGATTTCCTGATTTTTAATTGATTCCAATTTTATGGCATCCAACATAGCATTTAATAATAACTCTAATGCAAAAATAATGGGCTATTGAAAATCAGTACAGATTCAAAGCCAATTTCTCAATAATCAGCTTACATGTCATAAAATGATACCAAACAATAATTTTTGGTGATTTTTCAAAAATTACTGATTCCAGATTTCTAGATAATCAGCAAGGAAAAATCATCATCAATGTTAAACATCACCTTAATTACTCTTTACTAATTGTCCCTTCTGCTGCTGCCAAAATTTACAATAAAGAAATTATTGGAGACTCAGTAAAAAGAGTGTCATAATGGTTATGAGGTGTCATATGGTTTGTGTCTCATTAGGTCCGTACCTCAACTATTGCAAAGCAATTATGACCAAAAAAAGAATATTAGAGGCCTCAAGGTGATATCCCGGAGGTATGGACTTTGACGGTCTAAGTTAATAACACCAAAAGTAAAAGTGATGCATTAAAGAGCTTAATGATATATGATATAAGGGGAGGCGAGATGAAATAAGGTGTGAGAGATATAGGAGTGTATTAGAGTCGTGGTTATTGAATGCCAAATTGAAAAGCTTTAAAACGCTTTCTCATGTTGAATTTCGTTTATTGTTCACACCGCCTGGGCTGACACCATGCGGTCGAGTGTTTAAATGAGGTGTGTGAGTGTGTCAAGTACCACATGTCGTGAGATGGTATTAGGTTGGCTCGCTAAGCCAGGTTGACTGGGCTAAGATGAGCTCAGCCAAGATAGGTCAGTTCAGCCAAGTTGATTGGGTTCGTGTAAGTTTGGTTAGATCGGTTGGGTCAAGTTAATTAGCCTTAGATGAGCTTGGTCGGATTGGCTTGCCCACACTTCGATTTGGTATGGTATAGGAAATTTCAAAATTGAAATGCAGAAAAATAATAAAATGGCAATATTCTATTGAAAATTTGTTATACCAATATTTAGAAAGCATCAATAATCATGATCATCTAAGCTTTGTCCCAATTATATGGGGTCGGCTACATGAATTCTATTATGCCATTACATTTCGTTCAGTACTATATCCATCATTAAATTATGGACCACCACATTCTGAGCAATATTAATTAAAAATTTAATAAAAAAGGGAAAACACTTTAAAATTAAAGTATTAAATAAAAAAATATAATATTACACGTATGTTTAAGGCAATGACTGCTGTATACACGTTAAATAAATTTGTTTATAAAACATTGAATGTTGCCATTTTTAAGATTTCAATAAAACCACAGATGCCATTTTTCTTTTATATATGGAAACTATAACAATTTCGTCATATATGATAGATTTGGGTTGTAAGGCTATTGTGTATCATTAGTTGGTAAGGTGCCTAGCTTATTGGTAGGGTTGACAATGGACCAGATATTGGTCCATTTCGATCCAGTCTGGTATGAATAAATTATTGATGGACCAGGTCCAATTCAATGTCTGGACCATACCCAAGCCTGGTCCATTGACACCAATACTTTTATCTTATGTTAATAGACCAGATGTTGGATCAATTCGACCTAATCAAATATAAATCCATTACAAATAGATCAGATTTAATAATCCAATAAATATTTTAAACCATTAAAATTAATATATCTTATTGATATGTTCAATCCATTCAAACTAATTTTGATTCGGATAAATCCAACCCAAACCTGGTCCATTAACACTCCTATTAATTGGTTGTAGTTGATACTTGAGATAAAATCTGGGGGATGGTTTACCTCCATGGTATAGCCCCATGAAAATAAATAAATAAATTCTCTACAAAAATGCAATAGAATAGCATGGGCATCCGTAAAACAATTAAGTGGGTCATATATATGCTAGAAAATATACTCTAAACCATATTATCAACTTATCTAAGCCACGAGGAAAGGCCCCTAACTACCATCTCCGTCCCAGGAGAGTTATTATTATAATTGTTTCAACAAGGAAATGTAAAGAGG